CCTCTCTCTCTCTCTCTCTCTCTCTCTCTCTCTCTCTATAAAATTTTTATTTATATTTTATAAAAATGTTTAAAAATATCTGATATTTTATTTTCGAAAAGATAATTCATTCATCGTGTTGTAATCCAAATTACAATCATGGTATATCACGGATTTCACGTAAGTGGATTAATATAAAAGCATTTATAGAGAGCGATTTACGTCGATTACAACCATGCTTTCCTCCACGTTGACTTTGTGATATAGATATGTTAAGATTGGATTCTGACGATGTTGCAGTGTTCCCATTTTTCCGATTAAGAGCGAGGGAAGGTCAACGCCGACGATGTTTTTGTTGGATAAGCCGTGGCTTTCACAGTAGCAACCTAATTTCAAAGACGTTCAAGGAAGCCACAATCGAGTTCTTTTACCATTGTATCATTTTTTATAAAACAATTTTAAGACTGGCGGATAGTAAAGTGCTTTAAGTTTAGAAGCCAATTGAAATTTCGATTTTTTGTAATTCATATTATACAAGAAACAAGATGCTATAATTTTTATAAATTTTTTCATTAACATATAATTTAATTGGAAGGTCAAAGAATAGGATCGTTTTTTTTTTTTTATTTAGGAAATATGCCATTAATTTTACAACTATTGGAATAATCTAGCTATTCCAGATGCATCGAATAGTTTGAAAAGCATATGATTAATGTGGCACTCATCAGAAATTTCTAATGATATATTTATGCGGAACGTATCAATTGTATATTCCTCATTTCTACATTCTTTGCTGGAAGAATGTCCATGCACTTTCTACCAGTGCTTACTACCAATAAGTTGACGTGGCCATGTCGGCAGCGGAGAAGTATTCGAGATTGCTGGCTGCGCGTACGCGAAGTTACCCCCCTTACCTCCCGGGTTCCATTCCCCGCGCGAATCCCGGAATTTTATATTAAAAACGTGTATGTATACACACACGTGTGTGTGTGTATATATATATATATATATGTGTGTGTGTGTGTGTGTGTGTGTGTGTGTGTGTGTGTGTGTGTGTGTGTGTGTGTGTGTGTGTGTG